GCTGTTCCCCATCCATGTCAGTCCCTGCCTGGCTGTCCCTAAATATCTCCCAGCTGGTGACCTCTGAGAAGAAAGGAGACACACCTGTAGGACCCTGCTAGCTTTGCCCCTTCACCTTGCTCCTCTCTTCCTCCATTCCTGTAATGCTCGAGCTAAGAACATTTTATTGCCCCCTGGTTTTCATTATTAATGAAAAGGGACCAGAATGATCTTTCCTAAAGTTCAGAGAGTCTATAAAGACAAGAAGCTGAAATGCCATTTTACTCGTTTTAGAGATATGTGAAATAATTCTGTCTTGTGGCAAAAAAAAAGTGGGCGGGGGGTGGAGAGGAACAGTGAGTGAGGGACGCAATAAAGGCTCTGCACTGACCACATCAACTTTACAACGTTATGAAGAATGTCACAGCTCTGCCTAAAATCCACATTCAGTCTTCCTTTTTCTCTGCAATACTCTAAAACATATGATGGAGAGAGGGTTAGAAGTTTCTCACTTGTAACCTCAGTGCTCACACTGACTTCTTTGCATATCCTCCATTTCCCCACTTGTAGAACTACAGTAAGATTCAGAGAAAGTGAAGAAACACTAACAGCTCAGTTGATCTTCAGTTTAGGCACTGGAGAAGTAACAAACCATTCTACGTAAGAGACCCTCAAAGGGCAAATGGAAGGAACCTGGACATTTTCTCCAGCTCTGTGTTTTCTGTAAGCTTATTTACTTTTCACAGCAGCAACTGTAAATTGCTCTTCCAGAGTAAACACTATTTTTCAGATGCCCTTTGATCTCAGAATTAACTTTCTTGCCATCAGTTAATTAGGCCTTGTGCATCTGAGTAAGGTCAGCCCCACCAGTATCCAGATTTAAAATTAAGGCTGGAAAAGGTCATTTTCCAAGACCAAACAGTGAACTCACAGAAAGGAGTTGGGGATAAAAAGAGTTTGGATTCTAGTTACCATTTTCAATGGTAAGAGAAAACAGTGTATTCTACAGCCTCCCACATAATGAAGACACAAGGGTGGGAGAAGGACATCCAACTAGCAAGAAAAAGTGTCACTGGAGCTGATTTTGAAGCAGGTGTAAAATCTGCACAAAACCCCATAAATGGAGACCACAAATGGGAGGAAGAACACGGACAATACCTGGATAATAACCATGTGGCTTTGCACACCTAGCTCAGAAACTCCCCTGAGTTTGCTTGTAATTACGAGGGTTAGAAAGGTAAAAAAATATATATAAACCAAATTAATCATTTAAATATTTAAAGTCAGATTTTTGTCCTCACTGCTAGATTAGTGTATTTCATAATGCCAACAGCAGACAGCCCTGGTTTTTTACTGGGGGTTCATTTTAGAGCATGTTTAAACTAGTCAGATTGAGTGATGCTTCCAGCAACTAATCGCATGTCAAATAAAAGATATTTTATGTAATAAATTACTGCTACAAGTAATTCAAATGTCATTTATCAGTTTTATTATCAGTCAGGCAAAGTCTTGTTTCTCTATATTAATCAAATTCAAGCTTTTTTTAAGCTTTTTTTTAAGCAGTTTTGACACCTCTTGGCAAAAGTACAAACTGGAAGGAAGGAATTACCCCTCCAGAACAGGAGGAGAAATAGCAGAGATAGGATTTAGCTAAAATACACTGTCTAGAATATTGGCTGAATTCTTGTCTCTTCCTTCAAAAAGTTATTGTTTTTCTTAAACCAAACCCAGGAGGAGGTTGGAATACTATGTTACTCTGAAGGTTTACAAATATGCTTCCTTCTCATTAACTTAAGAATAAGAAAGTACTTACATAGGTAACAGCTATTTCCAACAAAACCTTAGAACATTAGGTAATACCTACACTAGCAATTTAGTTTTCACAAAAGGAAGTATTTCCTGCAACTTCAAAAATTAAAACAGACTGAGTTGACAACAGCAGGAGATCAAGCAAGGAAAATCAAAGGTGTGCACAGGATTTATGACTCACAAGAATGGACACCTGAGGCTGGAGCTGCTGCCAAGCTCCCCAGTTCAGATGTCTGCATGCTGAGTGAACTCCTGAGATGGTTCTGTGTGGCCATCCTGAACTTCTGTACTCATAACCCACAGTTTTAAGGTAATTTCAAAACATGAATCAGCAACAATTTGTGGGGAGAAGGGACAGAGAGAAATTAGGTTTCTCAAGACACTAACCACTGCTTTCAAGCACAGTACCCTTCTCAACTGTTTCTCCTTTTTGCTCTGGGGGGCAGGGGGGGCAATTTTTTCTCTCTAGTTTTGTGATTTTGCATAGAGGTGTCAAAACTACTTTAAAAAACAAACAAACCTTAAAAAGAACCAAAACTATCAAACACAAAGTAGTTCACAGTCTTCAAGACCTAAACTTCAGCAGATCAGATGCTGCTTCACAAGAAATTCACAAGAAATTTGTCTTTCTTTGGGAAAGATAAATACAGCTCATAATCTTTTTCAATATAAGCTCTTCAAATACAAGTTGTTCCCATCAATGAGTCAATGTAGAGATTCAGCAGTCTACCTATCTCATTAGTCCTTCAGACATACTTTTGAATTTCAAACCTTGGGGCATTGCAGCACTAGTGTCATGAATACTCTGTAAGAAGATAAGCATAACAGATAAACAGAAAAAGTAGTATCTTCCTCTGTACATGACAGCCCCTGACAAAGGTCTGAAAGATAAATTGACTTAGTAAACTATCACAGGAACAACTGTCCTGGAGCAGACTTGGACCAATTCAGAAATATTCATTACAGGATTAGCATCCAACTGATGAAATAACCTACAGCAAGCAAGACATCTTGAAAGAGTACTGAGCCACTGCACAGTCTCATCCATCAGCTCTAGAAAATTCACATGTTCTTCTACCCCAGTACTACACCAGTCAGGAACTGGAACAGGGGCAGATGACACCTAAACAAAACAAGTATTTTGGTCAAATGAACACCATGTATATTTAGCTATTTATTATTTTTATACATCCATTTAAAGGTTAAGCTGAAATAGAAGGTCTACAAGTAACAGTTAGAGAAGGGAGGAACAGTATATAATGAACCTATTGTCATAATTTCCCTGATTTGGGGGCTGCTAGAAAGGATTAGCTCACAGGAAAAAGCTTTTGGTTCAAATGATTTATAAAGCATGAATCAGATCATAAAACTAGAGCAGCAGTTTACAAATACAACCACTACAAAAGCTTTACTTTTTGGTATATTTATTCACCTTCGGTTTCCGAGCATTGCAGAATGATACTTTCAGACTGGTCTTTGGAGCTGTTACTGGGAACATTTTGATGTTTAAATATTAGTATTTAAAAACTCAGAAAGCAAGTCTAATATTGTCTGGAGTATGTGATACACTAATTAACAGAGCCCTTAGTGGACTGTTACATTGGTCAGTAGCTGATCTAGAGATATTCATGAGCAGTATCAAAATCCTATTCTTAATACCTGGCAGGTAAGTTAAGTGCTTTTCAAACTGCCAGACACATGTGAGCTGAACAGCTTCTTTTGATGGATTTTTAATGGTGTGTACTTTGTTTTTTATTGTTTGGAGCTTAGATACTTTTTTGCGAGTTTTGTTTTAAAATGCAAATATATATGTAAATTTTGAGTCTACACAAATTATGTTGGGACTTCAAAAATTCTTTGAGAATGTATTTTGTACACAAAACCATGCAATCATAGCCACAGAGTCTACGAAGAATTTCTGCTTCTACACAGAAGATTATTTAAGATTTAAGAGAGAAAGATCCTTAAAATTAAGGATCCTTATCAACTGTTTACTATTATTTATAAGTTGACAGCACTCTTAAACTCAGGGAGTCGAACTCAACTATCCTTATGGTCCCTTCCAACTTAAGATGTTCTATGATTCTATGAACTGATTGCTTGCCTTACTTAAGAAAATAAATTATCTAGCTAAAACAAAACTTTATGATGAGGTTCAACAGTTTATTGAACAGAGTCCACTGTGGCAATAACTAAAGATGTAATTGTGTTGCACTTTAACAGCATCTTCTATTCAAGACTCTAATCAACTCTATCACAAATTAATGATCTAAATATTAGAAAACTCTACTTATGAAGGGAAGCATGACCTTCAGTTTTAGAATGGAAGGCTGAGTCCTATGTTGACTAAATGCTTTCTTCAAGTCCTTATAATGGTCAGAATCCAATTTGTATTGACTGCACACCTTGAGGTCATGAGGTGTCGTAGGTATGATGTTTACTTGTAGAAGATGATCATTTGTATCTCATTTTCTTTGAGTAATATGATCTTGCCACAGACACCAACAACCATCAAGTGCACTCAAAGTAACATTTGATGTCCAATTCTGACAAAATGTGTGATATTATTTGAACTGAAATCTAGGATCTAGGCAGAGAAATCTGTGGAATTGCTGTAGAAATCACTGCAGAAAGTAACAGGAAGAGATGTTCTTCAAAGTGTTACTTACTATGCACTACAGGGTAAGAGGGCTGAGCTGGCACCAGCTGTGTAGAAGGAACTGGGGACTGTGGCTCATCCGTGCTTGTGCCTGACTGCTGGAAAGCCAGGTCGATTTCTTCATCTGTCAGGCCTGGGGGAGCAGAGGAAATGAAATCAGTTTAGCACCTTTACCCACTTGATGCACGCATAATTAAATTCTCAAGCCAGGCAGAACCCTTTCAAGCTGCAAAGAATTTTGGCACTGACTTGAGCAGTAATGCCTCCCCAATTTTGGATTCACTGGAATGTCTCTTTCTTTCTCTGTTGCAATTTAACCTTAAGCGACAGAATATTAGCCTCGACGCTGCTTCCAAATGTGGCTCATTCAATTTCCTTAATTTATCCTTGAGTTTATTGCTGCTTTTGAAGTAGCTTTCTATTGCAATTCTCCATTCTTCCCCCGAAAAAAAGATACCATCAACTGCAAATGTGGCTCATTTTAATCTGTAATGGTGTAAAAAAAAAAAAAGAGGAAAAAAAACTAACAATAATGCATGAAAACAGACAGGGAAACAAAAAACTAATTATTGGGTTAGACGACTAATTAGTCTAGATCGTTTCCGAAGACGGGAATAATTTGCTTTATTTTATGACAAATGCAGAAATAAAAAGAAAAAATCAGGACTGACTGTGATTAGTATGAATGGGACACAGAATGTAAGGAGGAAATAAAACTATAACAAAACAGATCAAAACAAGGCCAAGCCCAAACTTTCAGCTTAGCATTGCCCCGGTCTACTGCTGCATGATTAGATTGCCCTAGGGCAGCCTGGTTTTTATTTCATGCAGAGTTGTAGTCACACTGCACACATGGTACATGTTGGTGCAGTCAATCCTGCCATCAGGAAATGCCAAGGTGACCATCTGTAATTGGCCACAACATATGGAAAGGATTTGGCCAACAAGGGGAAAAGGAAAGCATCTAAAGGATTCACGATGACTAGGCGTCTGTGAAGAAGGAAGCACAGCTGGATTATTTTTCCAACAGGAGAAAACATCCTCTAGGAAAAGAATTTAGTACTCAGATGGCAACTGTGATGTGGGGCCTGGAGAGCTGTGTATTATTTGTTATGTTATTCTCCTGCACAGAAGCAGATAGAAAGCCTTCTATGAGGAGCATATGAAGTGGTTCAGGACCTTTTACTATACATGCAGAGTGTATGTAAAAAAACATTCAGAAGTGTTGGAAGTGAAAATACAGATTTAAGGAAAGAGATTGAGAAGAGACAGACCACCTGCTCTCACAAAATTCTTGCAGGTACCGAGCATAGTGAAGAAAATGGTACGAATATGACGACAGAGAGAGAAAAGTGAGGGAATTCAGTCTGTCCATCACCTCTGCTTGAGATCCAAGAAGTATTGCTGGGAGATGAAACTCCTGAACTTCACCTTTTAAAACAGCTCTTCAACATTACAGGGAGATGATACCATATAGAAAATGGACAGGCTTCTGGGTATATTACCCAAGTTCCAAGACATTTTTTCAGGAACTTCACTGCATAGTGGGGGTCTAGACAGAATTATCTGCAGCACAAACACTGTTGCCAGAAATAAATACACAGGTCTGTCTCAGAACTGCTATTTAATAACATAAAGCTCTAACATAGTGCTTCTGGTATTCAGAAGGCTTTATAACCATTAACAGATCTTTTCCTTATTTCTGTCAAAATGTAAGATACTATTCTATCTAATCTACAGTGCAGATACTGATACACAGAGAAGTTGGGTGATTTCTCTTAACATAGCAGAAAATTGTCAGTGTCAGAAACATTATCAGAAATCTGAAGTTCCTGATCTCTGGTCCTGCAATCTGACAAAACCATCCCTTTACTTGTGCTTGATGCATGCTGCAAACAGTAAGGAACAAAACCCACACATAATACCATGGAATAAGACCTGCAGTGACAGTAATAAATGGCACGTGAACACAACTCAGCCTACTTTTCTAGTCACAAAAGCAGTATTTATGGTTTCTAATCCATGGTAAAAAGCGAAGTTCTAATCAGAAAGAAACTTTTTAAACCAGCTTCTAATTATCCAATGTAGGAGAAAGCATAAACAGATGCCAACGCTGCAGATCACTAGCAATTATGGAATTTCGTGAAGATGGAGACAACATTAACTGCTGGCTGCAAATGTGGCTCCCACTAGAATAGGGCATTTTGTTCTATTTCCATGCAAAGCTAGCAAATCTGATACATATGGAAATGTTTGGAAGTTATGGAGGATCCTTACTTCATTCTACAAAAAGATCAGGGAAGAATGTTTTTAAGTTTCCTAACTGTACTGCCCCTTCGATTCTCATCCTGTCAGAGAACAAAACCTAAAATCCTTTGCAGATAAAATGAACTTCTAGGATTATTCTGGTCTTGCCAACTGTGGACACTCAAGTATCACAGTTTCCATTAAAACCTTGCTGTGTTGTGAAGAAAAAGCTGATATGAATGATAGAATGATAGAAAACCTTTCACATTTTAGTTCCTGGTTTGAATTCTGTGCAAAGCAGTGCAAATTAAAATTGTTATTACTTCTGCTGCCTTGTGAAGTGGTCTTGTTCATGGTACTAGTGGCATAATACTAAAGAACACCACAGCTACATGTCTTCTTAATTATCAGCAGAGAAGACTGGGAGTGCCATCACCTTGGAACACCTTATTTTTATTCATCTGAACATGATGTTTTTAAGGCCCTGTCATCTTGGCCACCAAGCATCAAGGGAATAATCTCCCAAAGCTAATTCCTTAGGCATAGATAGAGTAAGTCTGTACTGCAACTACTCATCTTTGGATTCAGAAATATACCTGTCTTCATGGTTGTCATTTCTCAAATACACTAACAAAAATGTACAAGACATTCTAAGACTGTCCTCAGGCAATTATAACTAACTCATCAAAATTCCCTTTGGACTGCTTTTTTTTTTTTCCTGATTCACCACTTACACACATGTATGAGTTTTCCATGTCCCAAATTATTCAATCTTGATATATTAATTACATAGAAAAATGGGGATTTCTAAACCAGATCAAAGTGTCATCTGTTCCAATATCTCACTTTGTTTTATTTGATAACAGTCCTCCACTATACAAAAAATATCTATGGTCCACTCATTGTTCTAATCTAGTAGGAAGGTGTTCACCCCAAAATACTACCACTTCCCTTGCATGCAAAAACTGGAGCTTTGTGTCTAATATAACTCTCAAACATCAAGAAAATCAGCTCAGTTTAACAGAAGAATTGCATTAAATCTACTTTCTCAACACTTTGGAAAACAAACATTTTAGTTCTTCTGGAGTTTCAGCAAGATCACAACCATGCAGAAAGCAAAAGGTTAAAAGGAATAATAAAAGAAACTGCCAATTGTAAGTGAATTATATTTGGCTTTGAAAGCTGAGCCACAGCTATATTATAAAAGGCATCTCTTTGCGTTGTTTACCATCACCCTGACTAATGCAGACCTTTTTTTTTGTTTTAAATAATCTCATGCAAATTAGACACACACTTCCTTCCAGTTGATTGCTATCTGCAAGGAATAATGTAACTGCAGAGGGTACTGAGCAAGGACTGAGCTGAGAAGAAGGATGCAAGGAAACTGTCTTCATAGCCCTACAGAATGCAAACCTATTCCCTTCCCCCAGCCATCCATTTCATTCCTCTACAGCAAAGAATTAGTAATAATTTTCACAAAGCCTTAAAATTTCCTCTTCAGACTTCAGGTTGTTGATTTGAATAATCCAGCATCCATGACTGTTCTGCACTGCAAGATTCTTGCTGACCCTCTTTTGTGATCATCACTGCTGCCACTTAATTTTCAGGGATCACTCAGCCTCTGTAAATTGTACTCAAACACAGAATCAGAGCAAGTCAGAGAATAAAATGGCTTGTCACAAACATCTCTTGGTGGCTGAACCCTAGCTATTGCATAAAAAGCCCCTTTGACCAAGAACTTTTAAGGCTTGACTGTCTATTTAGGCCTTTTTAGAATATTTACTGCTATTTAATATAAGGACCTCATGTACCTCAAAATACTGCTCCTCTTATGACCACTCTGAAGTGGAGGAGCTGTTATCCATATTTTACAGATGAGGAAGAAGTAAGATGTACAAATATGAGAAGGGTTCCAAGGTCAGAACTGAACCTCTGACAGTAAGAAAATAAAACTCAGGGGATGTGAGTCCCAATTCATTGTTTTACCATAAATCCATTCTTCTTTCTGGATGAAACACAGCTGCAAAAATGGCAATGTAAAACTCCTGAGTAAACTAGATGAGCGACTACTTTTTTTTTTTTCTACTTCTGTCTCCTCTGACACAGGCTCTGGCATTTTAGTGACAACCTTTTTCCTGTCGCATCCACTGAGCATATATTTTTCTTCATTATCATGCTCCTTACATTGCTCAATCTAGTAATTGATGCAAGATTTTCACAACCTGAAAGCAGCATTTTTGGCAGAAAATTTCTGGTTAGAAAGAAATTAAGAATTCTACCATAATAGGGAAGCATGGTGAAAATAATTAAGTTCCTTTAGTGGGTTTCCAAAGGCAGCTTTATTACCACTCTGACAGACCACCCTGGAGCAATCATCAAACTTACCCTTCTGCAGGGATAAAACAAAGGAAAGCGGTGAGGGGTGGGGGGTGATATCTGTTATTGTTTTCCTCACACATGCACACATTTTTTATTAAGAAAACCAAATAAAACTGGACAATTTGTTTAGCTACAACAAACAATATGACTACCCAAAGTTAGTGCATGGTATCTTGTGACTAAAAGGGAGACCTACTGGTAGGCATCCTGAAATGACATTATGCTCCTGTTCCTGGAAGCCACTGAGTCAACTCTGCTCAGAAATAACATAGGCACATTTTAAAAGAATCATCATAAAAACCTTCTGGGATCTGATCCAGACTAATGATTCCACCTGTTCAGTCAGTTACATGCAGTCCTGGGTGATTCTTTCATCAAATGTTTGTCCTGTATTCTACTCTGTGCTTAGCTGAACACATTTCAAGGAGGTCAAAAAGGCACAGTCTCTGGATCAATTTTCTTTATCACATCTTGGTTCATGGGGCATTCAGAGAGGCTGAGCCCAAC